GCTAGGGATACTCAAGTCCCAAGAAGCAGTGAACAAGCTGCTTGAAACGACCAAACATAAGGGTCGCAAAGGACTTGGGTTTGACTCCTCTAGTTCCAAAAGGAAAGGGAAGACAACTTTCATCCCTCCTAAACCTACTGCCAAACCTAATAAGCAGAAAGGGAAGGAAAAGGAGAAACCAACAGAAGTTCCCAAAAAGATAGTCCCTTCTAAGAACTATAGGAAGCTGGACAGACCTCAAAAAGGAAATAATTTCAGAAGAAAACCCTCTAACCCCCATTATACACGAGGCTATACTCATTATGGGGTAGACAGGAGTTTTCCAAGAAATTCTGAGTGGAGAACTATGCCAAGATATAATCACCCTCCACCCCAGAAGCTATTTGTGCCACCTAAGTATGCTTATAACCGACACAGGACATACTATGCACAACCTAGACAAAACTATAGGTCTTATCAACCTAGGTTTGCTAGGAGGAAACAGGAAATAGCACCTCCTGCACGTAGGAAGTTTTATGCCTACGACTATGATTACAATCTCAACAAGTTTAGAGCGGCAAGGAAGATTCCCTGCAACTTCAAACTTGATGTAGGGACACACACCATTAACTACTCCGGACCCAAACTTAATTGGGTACCAAAATCTTCCTCCTCCTAATGCAGGAAGCCACTAAGTACCCAGGTGTCTGGTACTTAGACAGTGGCTGTTCAAGACACATGACGAGTGATGCAAGCCTTTTGAGCAATCTAATTCCCTATGATGGTCCAAGAGTTACTTTTGGAGGAAGCAATGATTTCGGCCTTACTAAAGGGCTAGGAAATCTGGTGTACAAGGGACTAACCATCCAAGCTGTATCTTATGTTGAAGGACTCAATTATAACCTTCTTAGTGTTGGACAATATGCTATCATGCATATATATTTTTGCAATGTCCTTTGCCCATTGTCTTTTAGGTTTTGATAATGAAAAAAGAGTGACAAAATATCATCATCATTTTGTGCATCAAGGCTAAGAATCAAAGCTACAACAAGTTCATATCCGTCCGTGAAGAAGGGACTTGAGCATCGGTGGAAGGAACGAGACTGAAGAGGTTGTTTAATTAGTTGGGTAGTGTTTTAGGTCTTAGATTATGTGTTAAAGAGTATGGCATCTCTAAGGTTCATTCCCTTATCATCTTACCTTTAAAACTCATTTTAGATCAGCCTTTGTGTGGAGAAGTTGCCTTTCTATTTGAATAATCTTTAGTTTATTCGAATAAGTCGTGATCTTTCTTGTGACTGAAATTAACCTGTTTTATTAGAATAAATCACCATTTATTCGAATAAGTCCTGGCTTTTCACCCTGATTTATTCGAATAAATCACCATTTATTCGAATAGGAACTGGTTTTTCAAGCCACGCGATTGATCCAAACTATTCGAATAGTTCTTGAGTTATTCGAATAAGTCGACAGTTTCAACTACCAAACGGCTAGTTTTTTTGAATTCTTTTCATCTCTATCCACTCCCTAACTTCTATAAACAACCCTCTT